GGGCACGCACGTCTTGTGTTTTCGTCGACTCTCGTACGGAATTTCTTCGCACGAAACTTTCTTAAATGCCATCGTTGCGGTTAGGTGACGCACGTTAGGGTAAATTGCTCTAGAACGAAACACTCGTTACGACTTGGGCTCGAGATCGAGTACGAGTGCCTTTTCGCATGGCTATTTTTCTGTCTTGTCTTTACTTTTCTGTCGTAGAAATAAATACAAATTACACGCAAGAGAGTTTATTCGTTCCGGGTCGGTCGTCTCTACTGTAAATGCAGTTGGAACCTTCTAGCAATTTCCGGTAGGGTCTAACGCGAGTTACACGAATTCCGATCCGACGTGAGTATAATCTTGAGCTTTTTCTGCGTTAAGTATATCCGCATCCCATTAATATATATATATTTTTTTGTTTCTTTACAGAATGAAGAGCTGGCGGTTTTGGCGTTGGCTGCGGCCCAAGAAGATGAAGAAGTGTGAAGGGCGTTCTCCTTCCGCAATCGATGAAGAGAGGGTCTTTTCCCCCTTTGAGCGGGGAGAGGAACTCTCTTCCATCGATTGCGGAAGGGGTTCTTCCTTCACGGGATCGCCTTCGGGAATAGCGGATGTCGACAGCATTCTCTGTTCCGCGTTGAACGGAGAGGAGACATTTCGCCATTCGGACGTGTTCCGAAAGGTGAAATGTCTCCATGTTGACGACATCATCTTTGACGCACTGGGAGGGGAGGAATGTTTCGATCATTCCTCCCTTTTCCAACGAGTGGGATCCTCTCGTTCGGTGTGGGCAAAGATGGAAAGGAAAAAGCGTCGCTTCGTAAGAGAAGTGAACGACTTTTTCCTTTGCTATTTCTGAAGGATATTACTAACCTAGGATAAGAAGGCAAGAGGTTTTTTTCGTTTGTTTTTTCCTCTTGTCATACTAACAACATTTAAATTTAAGGTTTTAGTTTCAATTTACTAACGTAGGATAAGAAGGCAAGAGGTTTTTTTCGTTTGTTTTTTCCTCTTGTCATACTTATATTTACTAATTTAGGATAAGAAGGCAAGAGGTTTTTTTTTTTTTTTTCCTCTTGTCATACTAACATTCAAACTAAAACCTTAAATTTAATTTACTAATCTAGATGTAAGAAGACAAGGGGTTTTTATTTTTTTTCCCCTTGTCGTACTCACATTAGTTTAGTAATTCACATCCACGCACATAAACAACAACATCCCTCACGCTGAAACACACAGTTTAAACAACGACACATTCGTCGCATCCAATCACCAACCATTCCATTCACGTGCATTATAAACAACACCGTTTCACAACACGAACACGCTTCCCAAAATCCAACCTCTGGGTCCACGTCCCGGGAAGCGGTAACATCAGTCGATACGACCGTTGGCTGAAGAGGCTCTGGTAACAATTTACTTTTCACTTATCTTCGCCATTAAAATTAAAATTCAAATTCTTGTAATGATTCGTTTATTTGTATTTAAATGAATTTTTGTTAATTATATAGATTAAAAAATTTTCACAGCATTTACAACAGTTCTTTTAGAGAGCCTATACCTTTCGATAAACAGTTGATCGTCAAACTTTTCAATAGGATTGGATCGATCACAAATTAATCGTCGTGGAATTCGAAAGTAGCTTTGTATTATTTCGTTTTCAGACATGTACTCTGCAAAGTAAGACAAATCTTCTGCTATGTTTGTCGAGATTAGTACACTAATCTCCCGAATTTGTTGGATTAGTTACTAATCTTAAAATGCTGTATAATAAGTAATCCTGGATTTAAGATAGTCGTTAATCCTGCAATTTGTCTAATCGTCTGTTGGTGAAATAGGGGTTAATTTAGTTTAAAATACTCCTGTATTTAACAAAATAATAATAATTTATAGAGCTTAAATGGAATTTTTTACATAGACTTATAATGGGAATCCGAAATTCGACGTATTGTCATTATTGTTTTTTGAGAAAAACTTCTGTGCAAGGTATAATACGTTAAGATATGCTGGGTCAATTTTTCAAGAAAAATAGGGGTAAAAATTGGCATTTTAAAAAATTTGGCAAAAAGAACTTCGCCGTATTTCGAATGTTGGGTAGACGATCTTTGACCTCCGAAATCTCTCGTTCTAAAAACTTTAAAATTTGGCCTCTGTCACAACACGCCATTTTATTAGCAAAATTTCGTTCGAGTCGCTACTTCACAAGATTTGTCAATTTGAGTCGCGATTCAAAACCACCAAAGTTTAATAGCATCAATGCCTCTTATCCACAAGCTATAACAAGGGGACAATAGGATGTCTAGGAGATAATATCTGAGGATGAGGAAATGATTAAGAAATAAACTTTGATACGGTAGCTTGTGTATAAGAGGCATTGATGCTATTAAACTTTGGTGGTTAAAGGTCAAGAGGGTAGGGAGATAGAGGTGGGTCACGTGCAAGGACTATATACTACAAGGATAGCCAGATCCCTATTCTACAATGTTAGCCAGGAATGCCAAGTTAGTGACGTCAGCACGAGACCTGGCCTCTCTGTTTACATAGAGCAGGGTGTGCACGTGTTTAGTTTTCGCTTTTAATATTCGTCCAATTTTGTGATTAACGAAGTGATTTATTTTAATATTTCTGTAATTGTTTTATTTGACTAAGTTTTTTATAAGGTAAGATGATTTAAATCTAAATCATTAAATATTTAAAGCTATATTTTTATGTTAGATGAAGAACAAAATGCTGAGTACTAAGTGCGCTGTGTATGGTTGCAATAATAACCTTCTTTTTTCAAATTGGAAGCAACCTGTTTACATCGGGTTTGATCAAAAAATGACAAGAGAAATACTTTTAAAATTAATAGCAGAACTTTATTTACTATCGTATAATGTAGTAGCTTGCGTCAGTGACTGTAGTTGCAGTAACATAAGTTTATGGAAAGAATTGAATGTGAATATCAATGAAACGTTTATTATGAATCAATTATTATTATCAATGAAACGTATATTAGAGATATAAATATGTGGTTCGACATTTTTAATAGCTATGCACCAAAAGGTTCTGTTCCAAGCAAAAATGGATATGGTGTAGACTTGGAATTACAAGAAGAACATTTAAATAAAATGATAAAAATAATCTCAACAATGAGAGCAAGTGGAAAAAATGCCCTCCAAATTTTCCAGAAAGGAATGATAATCTCAATGAAATCGCTAATTGATCTTTTTCAAGATATGAAATCGACTTTTGATATAAAATACATCTGCACTTAAATCAAGATTGTCTGGAAAATTTTTTTTTTTCAAATTAGAAGCCGGGGTCCTAATGAACATCCAAGCCCATTAAATGCTATATATAGGATTAGATTGATTATTTTAGGTAAGAATCCTGGTATTTTAGAGTCAAAAGTAAATACTACAGATCGAAGACAAGAGGAATATATTATACCCAAAGTTTTAGAGAAAGCACATGTAGAAGTATCAAGTGAAAATACAGACCAATATACTGAATGTAAAACTACTTTTTCTTCAAATAAATCTTCAGGAAACTCTACATGCAATCTAGACTTTAACACAATCTCTGAAGAAACTTCCTACGATGCTCTCGAGTATATAGCAGGATATTTTGCCTATAAATATAAAGAAAAATACCCAAACTTAATTAATTCCACTAACAAAATTAAAAATCATTACAACTATAGCATTCCGTCATGGGTGCAACATTTATCTTATGGAGGGCTTATTAAACCTACTGATGAATGGCTAGCAAAAATTATAGAATGGAATAAATATTTCGAAATATATCACGATGAATCGTATAAAAAAGGCCCCGGAGTTGTACAGAATTAGTCAGTGGAAACAGTTTTACCTTTTACTTTAATAAAAGATTTTTGTAAATTAAGAACTATAATAAGAATTAATTATAGAAATCTTAAACAAGAAAACTATAAAATATTGAAAAGAATGCCTTCTGAAAATGGTGATTGTCGAAAAAAAATTAAAAAGTTAAGTAAGATAATCACATAATAAAAAATATAGCTCATTAATTTGTTAAATAAATATTAGACAAAAGACTTGTAAATTTATTGACGTACAGTACACTTATTAAATCCGAAAATTCTACAGTAGTTTACATTTAGTAGTAATTTAATAATTAATTAAGAAATGATTTAATATTTTATCGTATTTTGTTATTTGAAAGATCTGTCATGTTAAAGTAGAGGGCTTGCTGTGACGTCACATAGATCCAAGGTCACGCTAACAAATATACGGGATCTGGCTATCCTTGTAGTTTAAAGTCCTTGACGGGTTCGGCCGAATCTGTGCGAACCTGCTGAATATCACCACTGCTTGCACCTCCTTATGATCAAAAGTAAAAAATTCCACAGGTTATAATCGTAAAAGTAATTGAGATATGTAACATTACACCCTCAATCATGAGCTGCTTTGTGTCTTTTTGTATTGGTGTAATAGACTACTATATTCTATGATCTACATGTAAAAAATTCCCCCGAAATAAATAATTAAATTAAAATTTGTTGACAAATTTTGCCTCCAAGTTTTGCCTCCCCTAGAAAATTTTCTTCGGACATTCATGTGTAGAATAATTAGTATCAGGAAATATGCCTCATGATTACCTCCTGATATCCACCTACCAGATGGCCGGATGGTCGAGCGGCCAAGGTGGCAAGCAGCCTAACGCTCTGGGGAACATGAGTTCGAATCCGGACGAATCGAAAAAACTCCAGGAATTTTTCGGGTGTGGTCCGTACGGATATGTCGGGCCCCGTCCCTTACCACCCGGTCGCCCTTTTGCAAGCCCATTATGGATTCTGCCAGGCCCACAATGGAGCGGAAAGAGCTAAAAAAAAAAAAAACGACACCCGGAATTTAACTAGAGCTGGTTATGAATACAGATAAACAAATTTTGTTTTTCAGATAAAATTATTTTAAAAAACAGAAATTGAATTATATAAATATTAAATTTAGTTAATTGAAAAAAATAATAAATAATAATAAAAATCTTTTATAAGCCGGAAAGATTTACAGAAAATGGCAACGTTTTACGTTAGTCACGTGACTGAAATTAACACTTTTGAAAAATTGCTGGTGTCACATGTTGGCTGTAAACAATCATGGACATTGAAAACCAAGAAAAAGATTCATCTGGTGACCTGGATGTGGTCGAATCGGAATGCAGTACAGTTCCTACTGATTTAACAGTTTCTATAGGTAGTGAAACAAATCGGTTACTATCTAGCCACTCTTTCGATAGAAAAAGTTGGATTCAAGAAATGCATTTATTAAAATTAGAATTATCCAAAAAAAATCTTTTAGTGCAGAATTTAAAAACGGATTTTATGTCGAGAGTCGAAGAACTGGAAGAGAAATTTGCAGATGCTGTTCATGAGAAAGAAATGTTAAAAATTCGATTGGAATCTCAACTTAATATTAAAGAAGATGAATGGAAAAAGAAAGAAGAGAAATTGAAAAAAGAACTAAATTCGCTTAGTCAAAAGACAAAAAGTCTTAATGATGTATGCGAAAGTACACAAAATGATTTAGACTATTTAATAAATCATTTAAATGACTCGTTGCTGAGTGATAAGAATTTGTATGAAACCATCAAACAAAAAACTGAACCATTAACTTTTAAAGAAAAAATACTGGTAAGCTCAATCCTATGAATCTGTTTTATTTTTATTTTATTGCAAAAAATGCATATAATTTAATTGAATAACACAAATTTGTCATTAAATAGAATATTAAAAAAAATAAATAAATTTATTTATTTTTTAATACTTCCTTCTTTCTATTTAAAATTTTTCATAAACTAGACTTAAATATGATTTAATGAACATACAAAACTTCTCTATTTGTTGATGTCTACAATCAATTTATTAATGTTACAATCAATATTTATCATTAGATATCATGATTAAAATTCAATAGAAAATTAAATAAAATATTTTGCTTTATTAAAAATCAGTTTGACAGTATTTATTTTCAAGATTGATTATATATTACTTAATATATAATTCTTTAAAAATTTAATATTTACATGCATTTTATAAAATATTTTTGAAAAATTTACAAAACAAATAAAAATGTTTAAATTCAATGCTAGTAAATTGAGCACTCTTGAATAATTTTGAAAAATTAATGATTTTAAATACAGTAATACCTCGACTTACGCTACCCCGACTTACGCAAACTCTGAGTTACGCGATTTTCAAATCTCGTCGATTCGTCTTTTGTTTGAGTGCTACGCAACTCTTGATCACTCACTACACCCACACTATTATTCAGCTTACATGTTCGGATGTGTCGTGCGAAATCGACACATAGCTACAATTTATTTTGTGTTATTTATTTTTGTGTTTGTTATATCTACGGAGACTTGAGAGACTCTATGTGGTGATTTCTTGTAACCGTGAACAAATCAAAAGATGAAATAAGATTAACGAGAACATTTATTAGCTTACATACATCCGACTTGGATTTTACACAAATTGTGAAATTATACTCTGACTTATGCGAATTCGACTTACACGGTTATCGCTCGGTCCCACCTATCGCGTAAGTTCAGGGTATTACTGTATAAAGTTTTAATTCATATGAAAATATCAAAGAAAAAGAATTTTAATAAAATAAATAACTGAAATAAACAAAATATACTGTAACGACACATAATGTACAATATTCTGTTAAAATGTCACAAAATTAATATAACTGATTATATTCTAAATAATGTATGAAATTACTTATGTAGAAACAAATTATTGTAGAATATTGCTACATTTAATTTTTAGAATTAATAATTTAGATATTGTTTTTTATTTTTCAAAATGTATGTATTTAATTTTTCAGAAATTATAAAATATTTTATTTAAATTTAAATTTTTTATAAGGAACAATTGTTTAAAAAATATTCTTTTCAATTACTGTAGCTTTCTTTACAATATTAGTCTTAATGATTGGTAAATAGCTCAATTCATTTACAATAAAATGACAATGATTTAAAACTAATATATGATAATTAATTTTGTTTTTATTTAGCTCAAATGTTATGACTTTGCTTTACATTACAAAATACAAGCAGAAGAATTAGAAGACAAATTAAAAAGAATAAATAAAGAACTACAAGAAAATAAAGAAAAATTTCAAGAACAAAAAGAAGTATATTACAATTTGTATTATTTTTCTGAAGTGATCTAATTTTACTTTGCATAATTGCAAATTTTTAAATGAATTTTAGATTTATAATTCTTTAATTTTCAAGTAATTTCTAGATTACATTACTAATGATATTAATAAAGTAATATTATTTTTAATTGATTTAATTTTAGTACTTTATTATCACTTAATATGATTTACTCATTTGTATATTAAAATATGAATATTTATATACATTCAGCTTTATCAAAAATATAGTTATGAATATACAAGCATTCAAGAAAAATATTTGAATACAGTTCAAGAACTTGCAAATACTAAAAGTCAAATTCAATATGGAGATTATGCTAAAGAAAATTTTTCAAGAGTTAAAGAAGAACGTGACAGACTGCAGTCAGAACTATTAGATTTGAGAGAAACTTTTAATAATTTACAAGCTACTAATACTGCATTAATAAATGAAAGAGATGATCTTAAAAGTGATGTAAATATTTTATATTTTTTTTAAATTTAAAATATTTTACTTAAAAATTTTTTCTCATGTTACTTCTTTTAGAATATAATGCTTAAAAATATATAAAGTAAAGCTAATAGCAAGTAAAATCATTATTAAGTCATACCCTACTCAAGATATGATGCATGGTCCCCTCCATCTCCCCATTCCCTCAATCTTTAACCATCAAAATTTAACCACTCAACAGTGAAGGATGGATATATCCATCCAGGGTGATCATGTGGCAGTAGTGAAGGACAGATATATCCGTTAAATTCTTTTGGAGGTATCGCCAAAAACTACCAGAAAAAAAAAACTCACATAAAAAATGAATTATGTAACATTAAAAAAGACTTTTCTTTACTAGACATAACTGTTTACAAAATCTTTTTCTGAAACGGTAATGAGAAAATATGCGTGGAAAAATATATTAAAAATTTCCCACGTTTATTCTCCACTACTTTGGAGTAGCACCATACTTGACTATCCCACAGTGGCGTGCCGTGACATTTGACATTAGGGAAGCTGTGTTTCTGTAAGAAGCCAACATCCAGAGACAATCAGTCAATTGCACGTCGGTGATGGTCTAGGGTTCGTATCGTTTATTTGATAAGCCAGTAAAAACCGTAGACTTTTCTAAATGTATTTTTAATATTGCAATACATTCTGAATCGCTAGCCACGATATAAGGGCTACAACTAAAAATAAAATAATAAAAACTTACTTGGTGAAATAAAATGTGTGGTGGATGTAATGGTGCATACCTCGTACAAAATATTCTTCAATTGTACAAATATACTTTTAAAGAAAATTACAATTATATATAGCTTTGTAAAGAAACATACATAACAATAACATAAAATATTCTTTACTTTTTAAATCTTAAAACAATGCACTTAGTCAAATAGCTCCCTACGAGTGGCTAATGGATGGAATCGAAGACAGTTGCAGAGTGTGCATACACGTGGACTGCCAAATCCCCAGGGTGCGGATATCGGTCAATGTCAAATACCTCTTTTGTTGCATCACTAATATATCTCAAAGGACGCAACAGGGCTGTTGTAGATTTTAAATGTTTCTCACCATAGCTGTAAAAATCTAAATACGTTAAACTTAATAGTCATTTGTTTTCTAACTAATTCGTTTTAAGACAAAGTGTCCTCAGAAATTTCTAAAATTTACACCTTTTCGGTCACTCTCATTGAACTGGAAAAATTTCTGTCTTTATTACATTAATAATACGAATAAGTCAGTCTCCACTGTACTCGGCTAGAGATGGTTCAGTTAAACTTTTGTTTAAGTAAAATTTCGGCTCTTTCATCAGGGTTTTGTTTATGTTCCCAATTCCCTAATCGCTTAATTATTTAACTACTTCTTAAGTAGAAATAAGTTGAAACCCAGTTACTTCGTACTCGAATATTTGTAGTCTTGGAAAAAAAGTGGAAAGACAAATTTTTATGACAATGGATCGGATACATAAATCGTAAATTTAAGGAAAATAAATTCTAGAGCTTTTTCTGTACCTCATGCATCTCTCTCATTCATTAAATTTAGTTGTAAATGATGCTGTCAAAGTAACAGTTAATTTTTTAACATTATACAAGAATTGTACACGTTTTTTTCTACATCCCCTTAGAGATGGGATATATAAAATCGTAATATCACTGATTTAACATTAAAATCCGTGAGTAATATAAATTGGGAGAGCGAAATAAAAATATCAAATATTTTAATGGATTTTTTTAAACTCTTGTCAACTATACAGAACTGTCATAAAAACATACCAGTAAATTCTTGGTTGGATTAAGTTATAAATGTACTTGTGATTCACGTAATCGTGCAAGGGCGGCAAAATATCTAGCGGGCAGGTGGCTAACAGTCCAGAACCAGTCCTGGATAGAATTGGATGCGGTATACGTTTAGCATCCACCCAAGGTCCTAGGCTTCCACCAGCTAAACTGGGTGAGGTTGGTGCTCTGTAAAGCACATGTGCGAATCTGGCTTTTTGGATGCTGACAATACAGCGCTTCCACTTCGCCACTAATACTCGAATATACAAAAGAAATCTTTTTTTTTTTCACGTGTAATATAGAAATTTGTAATAAGATATGTAATGCGGTTATAATAAAATAGTGTGCGATTATTTTCATGTAATTAAAATTAATATGTATTTATTTTTTAGAAAATACAAGGGAAGCGGCGCATCCACCGCTTCTTATGACGGCATGCCACTGCTATCCCACTGTTGAAAGGCTAATTGTATCATTCCTCCTAATACATAAACCTCCTGCAAAATTTCAGAAATTTTCAACAAAAGGCACAAGTTATTACGCTTCAAAGTGGGTGAACAAGCTACACACACTCCCTACACACACACTAACATCCATATATAAAGAAAAAGCTTACGATTTGTTTTGCATGTTTTGACATTTCAAGATCTTCAGAGTCCAAAAATGTAAAATCTTGAGGGGTCAATTTTTGACTGATTGCCATATTTTTTCTCTGTAATATATAACATCTGGGAAAGTAAAAATATTATCTCTTTATGAAAAAATTTATTTTGTATCACCATGGTACATTTTAAATGACATGAACTAATTTACATAAAGTAGTTTAATTTTTTTTTTTTTTTATAAAATTAGATTTGTTTACCATAAAAGAAAGCATCAGACTTAGAGCAAGCAATAGTTGGATTCATATACCTGATATTGTATATATTAAAAAGCTTCTTGTCTGTATTATTTAATTACAAAAACATAGGGTTCGTTCGTAAAGTTGAACGAGTTAAACAAGAATGACATCATCGTTATTTTATTTTCTTAGACTTTTCAAACGATTTGTTTATAACTAAATGGCTGTTTCTAAAATCAAAGATATGAATGTTGCTAGTGCAGCCTTATCTGAAATATTTTTCTTAGATTGCTTCGGGTGGACAGTTATTTCAATCATTTCACTTTTTAATTCACAATTTAAACACTTGAGTAGATTTAGAAACATTGATATCGTTGGGTGCCATTTTCTTTAAGAAGTTTACTTCTTAAAGAAAATGAGTTGTTGGGTGCCATTTTCTTTAAGAAGTTTACTTCTTAAAGAAAATGAGTTAGTTTACTTCGTTAGTACTTTCAAAGAGTTAGTTTACTTCATTAAGAAAAATGAAGTAAACTAACTTTCCTTTGTGAGCTTTATTAGAGTTTTATTCGAAACGTCATCACTGCAGAGCATGCACACTGAGTGAGACTACTACTTTTCAAACGATTCGCTACTAACACGTTTAACTCGCATGACTTTACGAATGTACCCATAGTTACTTAGGACTAATGAACAAGCTTATTACTCTCCCAGCATATTTAATTAACCTCTCTAAAATGCACTTTGGCCTTATTGACCCATTTCAATTGGATAACATACAAAAAACAGAGTCTATGGTGATTATTGCCAACTCTGTTTTTTGTATAGTGTGCTAGGTTATGATAAGCCTGTTCATTAGTCCTAAGTACAGTAACTATGTTTTTTTAATCTGATATTGTAATTAGTGGATATATGAATAGCATATTCATTGCCTATACATAAATGAACAATATTAATCAAGAAAGTATATAAAAAGAAAAATCCAAAAAATAAATCATTTCTCTATTTATTATTGTTTTATCAAATTTTCTTGAATAATTTGTGAATTTAAAAAAAAAAATATTTTGTAAAATATTATCAAAACTAAAGTTTGTTGAACACTTAGATAACTAATGAATTTTATATGAAATATGATAAATAAAATTACCTACCTATGTCATTAAAGATCAAAAGCACTGTATGTATAAATAGCCACATCCATTATTAATAATAATTATAATTAATTAATTTTCAAGTTATACATTTTTTAATTGTTTTAACATGACTTTTTGCTGTTAGTCAATGGAACAAGAACTAGTTTTAATTGTTATTTTATTTACTCTATTTAATATTATTAATGAGTTGTTACCATTTAGGTGATTTAGTTGTTACCAGTTATTACATTATGCAAAGTTACTGTTTTAGGAGTGCTTTAAACATGAAATGAAATGTAATGAAAACAAAGTTATTTATTATTATTATTAATTTTTCAGATTCTGAAAATGAGACATCAGCAAACAATACTCCAACAAGAGCGTGAACAGTTTGGCAAGCAATTAGCAGAAATAACTCAACAGTGGGGTGAAGCACAAGATCGTACGTCCCAATTGATGCTTCAATTAGAACGTACTAAACAAGCACGTGAAACTATGTTTAATCAATTTATAAGTGCAAGGTATGTTACATGTAAATTTAATTCTTTGTTTAAACAATTTATTTTAAATATAACATCTTACATATATATTAATTATTTAATTATGAAATATGTAGTTATTAAATTTTAAAAAACTTTTAATGAAAATTTAAAGAGTCTATAAATTATTTTATTCTGTTGAATTTATTTTGCTATAATTTCAATTATCTTTTTATGAATTGTCAAAAATTTAAAAAGTGCTTTAGCAAATTATATAATTAATTACAAAATAGTAATTTTTAAAAATTTTATATCTAAACAATAAAAAAAATGTGTTTTGTCAATAAAAAGTAAAAAACTTAAATTACACATTATTTTTCCTTACAAACATTTGAATAATTTAAGTTCAGTTCTTTTTTCAATAAAACATATTTGTTTATTGTTATTTAAGGATTTCCCTAAGATCATTTTTGTATTAACAGAGATAAATTTAGAGCTGAATATGATGATAAATTAAAGCATGAGATGGATCAAATTCGAAGTAATACTTATCAAGAAGTTCAAAAATTAAAAAATCATATGAATTCGTTTTATGAAAGAGAAATTAGGTAATGTTTTTTTGAAATTTTTAAAATAATAACAAAATTAAAATTATTACTTTAAATTGTTTAATATTGAATATATTACTGTTTTTCCCCTATATAAAATACACTGGAACAAAAGAC